GTTTCTTTCAAGTTAAACCAGTTCTCCAGATTCATATTTAATAATTAGAAAAGCATTGCAAAGGCGTATTAATAAATTCCAGTTGAATTGACTTATCTACTCTACCAAATATAAGTAGTACGGATAATTTCCAACAACTTCGGATTCTATTAACTTAGAAAGTAGCAAACGTGTCGAGTTTTGTGGCAAATGTGAATTTGCCTTATCGAACCCATTCATAAAACACAATGTGAATAGGAAGAAACCTAGGGTTTCCTGTGAATCATAGGCGTTAGTGTTGTGTGACCAAGTACTAACGTATTCCTGCCTTGCGCACAACTCATTTTCGAGACTTGTTTGAGAAGCTGATACGACCCTGGTCAAGAATCTCTTTAAAATTTTAAGATTTCCTAGCCATTTTACTGTACGAAAGTCAACGATCAGACCTCATTTTCAAAAATCTACCCTTATTTATATATTTTTCTTCGATAAGAATTATGGTCATCTAATAATGTATATATTGAGATTGGATTAATAGCTATAGTTTCCCACTATGAAATAGATGGACTTCTCGACTCCATTTAGTCTCACTTTGCCTTGAGTCCCAAAAAGCTTTCTCATCCATTTAATTTTGGGAAAATCATACTTTTTTCTCCATCACCTTATGCATTCAAAAATGACTAAAGTCCTTTGTCTTGAAACCTACTCAGTACGAACCTTTTTTCTAGAAGATCTACGGAAGGTATGGAAGCTCTTTCAGTAGTACATGCTATTTATTAGTGGTTTTTGAGCAGAATTAAGTTGTAAGAACTGTTGCTTCCATGGGACAGGTCCAAATATTGTGGCTATCTACAATGAAATAAACAACTATCAGATTTCGTTATAAATTTTATCTTCAACCCTTGTCCTTCAGCACTCCCAACGGGACTCTAATTCTGGACGAGCGTCATGAACTGGTATCATGTGTTTGTGGAACCATACAGTAAATCTTGATCTTAGCACTTTCATCCTCAAAGGCATGTCATTATGTCTTAACGCTTCTTCACGTGATCTGACTGATAGGCACGGCATGATATGCTGAATTTGTTGCATTCCTTCATATGCGTTGTCATGTTTCCTTTGCCTCCCCATCCTCTCATGTATTTTAGAGGAGCCTGTGATCATTAGTTCAAAGGAGACGGCTGTAGTATTCCTGAACAACACCATCACATTGACCTGCGAAGCGAAGGGAAGCCCACGCCCACGTATCGTTTGGTATTTCAACAACAGAAAATTGGACCCCGAACTTTCACCCGACTATCGGTAGGTGGAGAATAGCCGAACATTTCATCTATTTTTCATATAAGAACTTTATCTCCCTAGGTCGTTCAAGGTGATTTAATAAGCAATAATGGATTTTTTTTCATATTGCAATGAGTATGCTTCACGTCGCCGTTGGATCCAGACTTGATTGTAGCTTCGACAATCAACAATCATTGATAATTTAAAAGCATACTTACATCGAGCAAAAGTAACGTCGTCGATTAAATTGAATAATTCACGTTTGCCTTATTTATATAAGCAGGAATTGTGATTTTGGAAGTATATACGGAAAATGAAAGTTTTTTGGGAGGAACAGATAAGTTAAGCCTAATGGTATCTTAAGACTTATTGGTATTGTTGTGGAAAAAACTCCGGTATCCCTCCTTAAATCACGCTAGGCGACCAAGTGTAATTAAGTTCTTATTCTAGAAATACTGACTGCCTATAAACACACATCTTAGACATTCTACTCTTCTTCATATGAGACGTAGTCCCTCTGTTTCGTTTACTGTGATAGGTAAACTGGTTTTAAATTTTTTACGATCATATAGGAAGAACTTACGTGTCCACTAAATTTCACATAGCCTTGCTTCCCCAAAAAAGGTTCCAATCCAAACAGGAGTGGACTATAGGTTCGACCTCGTTTAGGTCTCATCAGCATCCCCAGCGGGATTTGAACCATGAAAATGCAGCGAATAATCTCGAAACGCTAACCACTACGTCACACTACTTCGAGTGTGGTTGTATATGAGACGTGTTTCGAAAACCTACTCATAAAAAACGAAAAGTTAGTGTCTCTGTGACATAGGGCCGATGTGAATTATAAGGAAGACAAGACATTTTACCATATCACATTCCGTGGTGGGATTGTCGATAAAGCAAAGTTAAGAAGTCCAATATATATGATATACTAGTAGTCTCGAAAACCTATTTATACACTAAATATTATTTAATCGAAGGTATGGAAACTAAAATGATGTGGCCTTTTGTATGGTCGCGGTCTCATGAATTTCGCCCAAAATGGCACACCAGAACCTTGTTTAAATAGGCAAGTAAGAAATTGTTATAATGAAGGAGTAATTAGAGGATATGGGATGGGTGAATACTTCAGGACAGAAGGAGAGATACCACAACTGTTTACCAGATAATTGGTCAAAGGATCGACCTTACTTGTCTCTTTGACGAGTTGTAGTGTGATGCTAATAATGGCGAGGCTTACTGACGAATGCGACTATGGTGCCGACGAAACGTTTTGTAATGCACCAAGCCCACAGTCAAAGTCTGAAAATTATCATGGATATTATGGTCTTCGAATAGGGTGCGTTCCTCTATGTCGTCCTGTCAATAGAACCATGGTGGAAAAAAACAAGGCCAAACAACTACTATACCAAAAGTTATTTATTTTTTCGCTAATTAGAATTTGGGGGCCTTTTGAATCTCGACAGTCAGATTTAGTTTCGACACAAGTCTCTTTGCATTTGGATAGGATACAAGTAAATCCCTTAATAAATCATCTTTCTTGATTTGTTAGTTTAACTTAGATGAAAGAATGATATCAAGCTTTGATGATAATGGTCATATGACAAAGGAGATCTTAGCACGTTTTCACCGGAATCGAAGAAGCATGTCCCGAGGACAACGTCAGCAAGAATGTTGGAACTGAAGTAAAACTAATCGAAAGATGGTTAGGAGAAATTTATTATAGTCTTTGGTCGACTCAGCCATTAAGTCTCTCCATTACTCTAAATGGAAGCAAGCTCGAAAATTGTAAATCAAGGGATTTCTCGAAACCCAAATTTTTCTCCTCATCAAGCCTTAATGATAGTTTCTAAGTATAAACATAATGAATATTAATTTTTATTTCTCTTAGCAATTGGCAATTGAGTGTTTTTCGACTATCCATTTCATCCAATTGATGAAAGTATAAGGGACTTGTAAGTCCGACGTATAGTCAAAAAATTCTCTTAACAGAGCAATAAAGGACTGTCTCTAATTGCATTCATTTACGCAAAACAGGTTCGTGGGACATGGCAATTTGATGCTGGAGGCCTCTAGACCCGAGCACGGTGGCGTCTACATCTGCGAGGCCGAAAACGAAGCCGGCAGAGATACAGTTCAAACGATTTTGACCGTCTTTGGTGAGTTTACATAACACCAAGCTACTGGTGTCACTAGCCATTTGCAAGACACCTTTTCCTAGCCCCACATTTCTCCGTCCTTTCTATACTTTGTTTAAGAACTTATTCAACCTACATCCTTTGAGGAAATGTAAGAAGTGATAGTTAAATTTTATCCACATTGAAGTAATTAGGCCTCAGAATATCATTGAATTCCACTTAGCCTTGCTGCCCAAGAGGCTATCTCATCAGGTTGCAGTGAGGTCTTGACCTGGCCTAGTCTTACTTAGCATCTACAGTGGGATTTGATACCGAATCGTGAGCACAGTGGCGACGTTACCATTCATTTGCACCGTCACAGGGCGATTACGACATTCGAGGCAAGCGAGGCCTCTTCCAAATCACACTTTTTTTTAGTGAGATTGCCCAGTAGGCAAGCTTGTATTCTAAAATGTAAACGATTGAGTTACTCATAATCGATGTGAGTAGACTTTAAGGCTGACAGAGATTTTGGAATAAAAATCTAGTGCTTCTAGAATTAATGAAATTTTTCAAATCTACTCACATCGAAAATAAGTAGGTTCGTTTATTGCATTGGCAAATACATATTTGTCTCACTGCAAATGTGATTTTGGAGAGGTATTGCCTGGCCTGAATGTTGCATTAACCTAGTGACTCACTAGCCACCGTAGCCGGTATCGAATCCTCTTGGGGCTGCTGATGAGGGGAAGTATGACGAAGTCGAAACTGCAGTCCAGCCTGAATAAGATTGCTTTTGGGGAGGCGAAGCTAATGAAAGATACGTGCTTGAAACTCATTTCAACAACTTTGTCGTGTTACCGTGGCGACATGTTGGAAATCTGTTTCCATAGCAGTCATGATTAGTTCCCGCCTCGGACGAGGGAGTTGGTGTCATCCTGAAGCTGTTAATTAGCATAAATACTATGATCTTGTCAAACAATTACTTATTTTGTGGAGACGTTAAGATTAGCAGTTGTAGTATATTAAGGTTTTCTTTTAGAGTCAGACTTATGATTATGTCTTAATTTTTTGTCATGCCCAGTATTTGACCTTGGTTTCGTGACAATTGTAGGGTTTCGGCTCGGTTTTTGTCTTAGAATTAGAATTAGGATAAAATTGGTCTAACCCTGGACTTGGTCCGACGCTTGGTGGTGTCATAACTTCTGTGGCTGGGGAGTTCAAACAAGATGCTTTCCCCCAGGTTGCTCTGAACACATGAATATGTTGCGAAAATGATTTTAAGCCACTTATATTGGGAGAAAGGAGACTTCGACCATAATAGAAGACATCATTTTGATCTGCATATCTGCGATTAAGAGTGAATGTAATCGAATGATATCCTCAGGCATAATCATTTCATTGTGAGAAAAATTCAATTGCTAGTCTTTAATACACCTTTCTTACTCAAGCATTTCGGATAGCTTCGAAATCTAGCCACATCGAAAATACTGTTTGTTTATAGAATTGTTACCACTTTGGCCAAGTCTCTTGATGAAGTCATTAAATACCATCAATTACTTACCATTTTCGCTCCCCCCTATTTGGACTTAATCGCGATCCTCTTCGGAGGCGGCACACTCCCAGCAACGGCCCGGCATGCGTCAGACTCGATGTGGTTTTTGAGTAAACATTTCAGCAAAACTAAATTAATTGTGGCGCCACTTATTTTTCGCCTTCTTCTTTTGCAACTTTTTGTTTATTTTTCTTTCATTTATTTGTCTTCTACTCTGCAGAGCCCCACATCACCTCTCATATGCCCCAGAATATCACGGTTCATCAAGTGCCACAGACTGGAAACATAAATTTCAGCTGCACAATGAATTCGACTCCGCCAGCCATCATTCAATGGTACAAAGATAATGTTAAGCTGGAGGCAGCTTTGCACTCAGGTGGGTTGATTTCTCAGACATCGTCATTGCCTGCTTTATGAACTTTTTCGACGGAATTTCCTATAATTTTCCAATTTATTTCAACCAAATATAAGAAGAGAGGCTTTACAAGCCTTTATGTCAGCTCGAGAGGCTGATGAGCCGACTAGTTGTTAAATTTCCGACCGGTTGCCAGGCTCCTGTTTAGTCATCCATGCAATGGAAGTCTATTTCATGGTTGGTTGGAACATATTTCTCACTTTATGACCTCATCTTATTGCCTGAAGAAGCCTCACAAGAGGTTGTGAGGCGGAATACTTGAAGGTGGGTGGAAAATGGTAGTTACAAGAGAAGGTGAACCCGCTTCAGCAACTTAGCGCTAATTCAATAAAATTAATTTTAGATTATTATCTGCAATATATTCCCCTCATCTCATTGACTACCTCTTTTTTTGCCCGGTCAATAGATCGTTACTCTATAAGTCCCGATGGAGCCACCCTGCATTTGATCAACATCTCTATCAACGAACAAGGCCAGTACAAATGTGTGGCGATAAACATTCCGATCGACGTTGACTACGAGTTCCGCTTGGATGTGACAAGTGAGCTAGAATTTCTGCCTTATCAGCTCTTTTCGCGCATGCATATTGGATAAGGTTCACAGGTAAACTGCCCAACTGCACCAGTTGCATTTGCGGCTGTATGTGAATATACGCATTACTGCAATGCACATACTACTCATTAACAAAGTAGTAGTATAGTTGCCAATTCTCGTAAACAAAGTTTTGGGATTGCACAAGCTATTTCGTTATAATAAAATTTGGTAATACCGAATCAATGAATAAATAAATGTATTGTAGTAACTGACAAAAAATTTTGTCATCTGTAAATGCCTTTATTGCAGTATTTGTAATACCGGGATGTGACCTGAATTTGTTAAGAGTTGTGGTTGTCTTAATAGATTTGAGTCTCTGGTAGCATAAATTTGAATATAAATCACTTGTATCCATGCCTTATTTAGGTATTTCTCCTTTTATGATACAAACTGGAAGCTGACATTTTTCCAGTCCAATTAAGGCTTGCCTATTTATAGTATCAGGAATATCGCATAGACTGAAAAATTGACATTTTTCTCTCAACTACTCGCCTTGTTGCTACCTCATTTACGATTTCAATCGCGCTGTTGTAACCTCTCTACAGCTTGGCCAATGATTGTGACCTCTTCGTCATCACCAAATCAAATGGAGGTGCAACGAGACGGTGAACTTCGCCTCCAGTGTGTGGCCAAGGGCATCCCGGAACCGACATATCAATGGATGAAAGAAGAGGTCTTTCTCGGCCGCGGTGGACTCTCAGGCACCAGCACAGATCCTGGCCAGTCGAGCGTGAATGTGGCCGGCCAACTTACGCTGTCTGGCGCCAGTGGAACTCGCTACTTCATCGAGGACCAGGGTCGTCTGCTGCGGATAGTC